AACTTAAACCTGCAGCATGCTTGGTTTAACTGAGGTTTAACTTTAACCTGCTGCAGACCTGGTTTGTATAAGATTTTAACTAAAGCCTAGTTTAACTGACATTTAAGGTCTTACAATTCAGTTGAAGGACAGGTTTAAACAAGTCAGAACAGTTAATTGATTTCTCAAAGGTCTTATCTTTTAACATGTTTGTTTCTCTGAAGGCAACACTATCATTTCTCTGGACATGTGGTCACTTTTCCAGTAATGTTGTCTATGACTAGTATTACAAGAGGATCTAAATACAGATCAATGGCACAGTGGGATTGAGAAGCAGAGCTGCCATGTCTCCTGCTGTCTGCATTGATAACAAACAGCAAGGGAAAGGAAGGAGACGTTGGAAACCAACTCCACCTGCTGAGTTCAACTGCTAAAACAGCTGCCCGGGATCTTTTTCTGCTCAAGAACACTACAGGATAAAAACTCTGCCTCATGTTCAACTACTGAAGCGGAGCGACTGTGGCTAAGTGGAGAGCAGGGCCGTCCTTCAATCAGAGGGTCGGCGGTTCGATCCCCGGCTCCGCCGGTCGCATGTCGATGTGTCCTTGAGCAAGACACTTAACCTCAAAGTTGCTCCCGTAGCTGTGCCTGTAGAAATGTGAATTGTAAATTCATGTAATGTAAAGATACCCTTTGGTAGACCTCTTCAGCTCACTCATAGTCAGAGCTTTAAAAACACATGTTGCGCTCTCTCAGAAGATGTTTGACCTAAAATGTTGTCAAACCACTGTTTCCATTGTCAAGAATGCAATTTTAAGCTGCAAAATAAATTGTTAGTTGTCAGCAAAACTGTGGACTTCTTCAAGGAAACAATTATTTACATTCATGTGTACAGTTAAAAATCAAAACTACACATCTGCACTGAATTGTTATCACCTCCTCGATCACAAACAAACCAAAATGATGAGGCCTGACTTCTTTTCAGGAGGTCGTATGACTATATGTAGCTTAAAAGCCCTGAAAACCCATCTTCTCAATTAATGTATGTATTACACATACATTATGTATTATTATGGGCAATGGGGCACTGCATTAACAGAGAATTCATTTACTAAAGTTGTAACAGTTTTCGTTGTTTCACAGGTCGGATTAATGTCGGACTTCAGTGGACAGAATCCATTGGTAAAAGGTGATGGCGGGAGAGTTATGGTATGTTAGCTAGTTATATGAAACCTGTTGTCATCCCAGCCAGCAACCTGAGATGGCACATACCTGTCACTGAAAGCAGCCACGCCCTAATTATGCATAAGTTTAACCTTTAATATAATTTATAGGTATGTTATAACAAAATTCACCCCCGTATATTTGTCATGAACAGGGATAGAGGACAAAACTGTTTTTATTGTACCAGGCTGTGAATATGTTTATTTCTGCTGGACATTTTAACATGGGGGTCCAGGCTGTTTTTAGACAGCCTCAAGTGGACATTTGAGGAACTACAGTTTTTGGCAATTCATTGCATTGGCTTTGTTTCAGCAAAGGTTGCCACTTGGGTTGGCCTCAAACTACAAAGCTCCACTATGGTCACAGTGCACGTTACTATTATTGTAAATTCAGACATGTGCTTCGTTAGGTTTAGGAAAATAATGACGTTTGGGTTAAAATTGAATTTGTAAAGTGAAATACACCAGCATATTGTTGGTTTCACATGGGACGGAAACAGCGGTCCACTGGGTTAATGTCCTGTGTTTGTTTGTCCCATGCATCCTCCAACCTGCCCTTCATGTTTTTTTCGGTTATACTTCGTCACCACACTACCGAAGCGCTTGCTATGTGTGTCTAAAATTGCTGTGGATGGGTTAACATTGGAGGTACTCCAAAGCTTGTGCGTCTTAAACAGACGCTAAAGGGTGCCTTCTCCGTCGGTATCAGACGCTGAGGGCCGTCAAAAACTATGTAATACACCAAGGAAAATAAAACCTACTTCTTGTCTACTAATGTGAAGGATGTGTTGTCGCCATAACTCTTGTTTTCTCTCTTTGCTCTCTCATCACATGGAATATCATATTGGTACTGTGTGGTTGCTTTGGTAGCTTTGAGCAGTGTTGTTACTTAGCAAAGGTATTTGCACACCAAGTCCCTATTGTTCCTTCTAAATAGTTTAAAAAGACATATGACCCCAAGTTGTGTCAATAACATTTTACACAGCAACTCCAAAACTTTCGTCTGTCGCTAAGGGAACTGGTTTGATTTTCTGCCAAAAGAGGGTTCTTTTGACCACTCAAGAGCTTGGAATCGGGGTATTATCGCAAAACAAAAGGACGTATGAAAGATGAAAGAGTAGTAATTGAGCTCTCGGCAGCTAAACGTTAGCTTCTTGCTTATGTCATTCATTGATTAGCCCTATTTAGGAGTAAGTGCTATCCATTGCTCTGCGTCAATCCCTTTTGTCTTGTATTGAGAATTTTGCCATCAAATAGAACAATAAAACTCTGTAAACTCAATGTGCACGTTTTCTGCGCCTACCAATTTTTTTTTATCGGATGATGGATGAGAAAGACCCAAACAAAACATACAGACTTGGTGTGCAAAGACCCTACGGGTGTCTTTGTTGAGTGTAGTTAGAGGCTGAGTCAGAGTTAATCAGGAACAACTGATAGAGAAAGTGTTCCTGCAGAGGTCATGAATCCTCCAACACAGCACTTTTTTTTCTCCGTATACGTTGGTCTAAATGCTTTTAAAGCATTTTCCTCAAGACCAGGGTGTAACTCTGCTGCAGAAATACGAAATCATTTTAACCCTAATCCCTTTTACATTGTGTTTGGGGTCCTGGAAGCCCTGAGCCTCTTCAAAAAAACACAGTTAACACTGTTTTATCAGCTTGGTACTGCGTTATTTTTATTGATTTTATGAATGCTTATAAACGTGATTTGTGAAGTGAAGACGTTACAGATGTCAGTCAGCGAAAACGACACATTACCTTTGTTCGGGGTGTCGCAGGACTCATTTAATCACAAGGTTGAACACAGTACACATATGCAGAATTACTATTAAATCCCAAATAAGTCTCCATGGATTTCTGTTGTTGTTTTGTCAGTTTGTTCAAAAGTGGTCTAACAGAAGAACAGAATGTAGGACAACATGCTGCACATTTATCTGTCTGTAATTGACCTTTTGCCAAATAAAATGAATATATATTTATTCCTACATATACTATGTAAAAACAGCAAATATCCTTTATTAAACATGATTTATGGGCATTTCTGTAGTTTGTCACCAAACATGCAGAACCCAGTATATGGTTTCCACTTCAATACTTGACAATATATTGGTTTTAATGTTGTCATAAGAAAAGACAAGGAAACTGTTAAAAAAACAACAGAAAAAAAGGTGAATTTTGCATTTAGTATTATAATTATTCATATTTTTTACACGTGCAGCAGTGAGAGCTCAATTTGGCCCAAAAAATAATGACCTAAATAACCAGCATTGAATAAAAATTCCCTCATAAGCTAAAGTTAGGAGATCAATCTGGTGGGTCATAAGGTGAACTAAAGAGTTAATCAGAATTCATATATCTCGACAGCTCGAAACTGTTTCATTGGAATTTACTCTAATCATTAGAGACATTACAGTACAATGTCTGCAAATGTTTTGTGAATTACTGGACAATTTGAACCTTTTCGGGCCTAAAGTTTCAAATACAGTCGTCATACATTGATTTGTTTTAAGGCATCACAAGTAATTGGGCATTATGCAGCAACAGTCTCTTACATTCCTCTTCATTTAAAAAGGAAGTCAACTCCAGATGCACTAAACGTTCTTAACCATCCAAATCTGCTCGTACCAGCTGTGCTGAATGATGAATCCCTCTTGATCATAAATTGGAGGTATGTATGTTATTAGTGAAAGGTAACACCCCCTAAACACTATATTACGTTGTGTTGTTTGCAAACACTCAGGGCACATACCTGATTTGGAGGGATGAGAGAACCACTTCAGCAGTAGAGACAGAGGTACTGTTCAATAAACTTAAACAAAGTAATCATGTGATCTTCTAGAGCGTCAGTATGACGTTAAAAATCAACAAGCATCAAAGAGCAGCATGTTCAGAAGCTGATTACATCCAAGGGTTGTATAGTCTTTATGTGGGATCAATGGACTAATAATGTTTCTCTAATAATAATCCAATTATTTTAATTTCTCTAAAACATCTAATAATCACACATTTTAAATGATATTCATGCATTTATTTTATCCTCAAATTCAGAACTTCCTTGCAATGGAGAATTTGTGGACTGTGAGTAACCACGACCACGAGTAAAATGTTTAAAAACATTTTAGGTGAATCCCAGAAATCAATGGCTACAAACATAATGAGAACACATTAGGTACTATATTGCTTCCTGCATTTAAACATTTAGACTTAAGAAAAACACATTTAATATTAGCAACAGAATGTACTCATTCTGCAGAATGCCCCCCCATCAGTGTGATATTAATATATTATTACTTTGGGGCGTTTGATCCATAACAGTGCATCCTATCTCTTAAGCTAGTCATATTTTTTAATATGTAAATATCTGAAAAGTAACTGTTACTATGGCTCATAAATTATGTCTTAAAAATGTGCATACAATGGAAATACTTCAACTTAAGTACAATATTGAGTACTCTTGTACTTTAACTACTCATTGATTATCAGTTCATTCAGACCCTCACTGTGTCAGTGTTCCAACACGGAAGTGAGCTCTCCTGGTTTCTGACGGTCAAACAGTGACGCGAACCCGCAGTTATCGGGACCGAACGAGGACGAGATCCGCATTCGTCCCCACACGCACACACACACAAAACCCTGACAGGCTACTTTTCGTTTGCTGCGAACGCTAAACACCACTAAGCACACACACACACTAATCCGCGCTCGGTCCTTAATCCCCTGCAGACCACGCTGCACCCGCTGCGAACTGTGCCAAAAGTGGCTATCTCCGGCGTAATCATCTCCGCGACCTCGCTCCGGTGCGCGTTTGCGCGAAGGCGCTGTAGCTGTAGCTGACCTGTCTGTCTCTCTCTCTCTCTCTCTCTCTCGCTCTCTCTCTCTCCCCCCTCCTTCCGGTGGGCTCTGTCATACCCCATGGTGTTTGTGCCATCTAGGGTTATCCGCCGTTCCATTGCAGTCTTTTCCAGCGCGCGGACTTCGCACCTCTCCTCCTGCTCGCTCTCGGACAAACAAATAACTCCTGAATTATTGAAAACAAACAGAACAAAAACAAAACTTTTGGATATACTTATTTTTTATTTTTTTACTTTAGGCTTGGATGAGCGTTTAGGAGCCCAAGAGAAGCAAACAACTACAAGGACATATTATACGGCACCGCGGGGAGAAAACTGGAACAAAATCGCCGGTGTCATGTAGCAGCACTCTCTAAAAAAGCAAAGCCGCCTGGAAATATAGACGAGCACACACATACACCACCAGCACCTAGTTATTTGTACTTGAAGAAGGAGGGGGGAACTACAAATATGCTGTGAAGCTCTTCGTCGCAGCTTGGGTCCCGGCAAAAAGAAGCGCAGGTTTCCACCACAGCATCTGTTGGTGGGTGAAGGAAAACAATTCGTCAAGGAGAGAAGTGTGAGTGAAGATGCGATATGCAGGCTCGGTAGGCAGCTGGGTTTTGCATTTATTATCCTGGAATTAGTGGGTGAATGGGAAGGGAGCGGCTGTAGCCTCGAACCGGGGGAAGCAGAATACACCGTGCAGAGCCGAGCCTGCGGTGGCGCACAATGGATACTTGTCCGTCTCTGAAGGTAAGGAATATCCTTTTTTTTAACAGTCTGATACGTGAAAGAGTTCCGGCTGCTCAGATATCACATTTCGCAGTTTGTTATGCTGCTTTTTCATTTTATGCTTACAGTTCACCTTCAACTCGGTTGCCTGCGAATTCTAACGGACCCAATTTGGGTTTTAAATGCAATATATAGTTTCCTGTGGCTGACCGCTGACGTTTCACGCGCTCCGGATTCCCATTCCCCTTAATGGCAGGTGGTGTGTGTGTGTGTGTGTGTGTGTGTGTGTGTGTTAGGGTTGGCCCGCGCTCTTGGACAATTACAGGTATCCACAGAAAGTAACCCGAGACGGTGGGAATCTGTTCAGCGCAGTGCAGCTGCGTGCCACTGCTGTTTATATATATATTTGTATTAATGTTGCATACGAGAGGAAAAGTCGCAGCGTTGCGCGGGGAATCGAGAAAACAAGCTGGGAGCTTGGATAGGTGTGCCTGACGCATACTAATCATGAGTGTGTATCAACGTGCGCCCTTTTTTTTGGGGGGGCAGACAATGTGTGTGTTGTCTTGTGCGTGTGTGAGAGAGAGAGAGAGGCAAAGAGAGAATGCAGGAGAGGGGAGGGGTAGATTAGCCAACTCTTTCCAAAATGCTCCCTTGTGATTACAGTAGCTAAGGCGCTTATTAAACTCCCTTTAAGTTGCAGGAATGGACTGCTGTGCGCGTGCAAGCACGTGAGACGTGATTATATCACCAGTCCCCCTATGTGCCTATTAAGCCACCAGTCCCTTGACGTCTTGAGAAAATAATAGCTTGTGTGCACGCGCGCACGCACGTCTGGTCAAGTGATCAATGGCCGCCATGGGGCACCGCCGAGAAGCGGTGTAACGCCACCACCCACTGTAATCACCAGCCTCTCGGTGGTGTTGCGTGGCACTTGCGGGATCACAAAATGAGAGAATCCGAGCGTGGGGGTAGAGAGAGCGCCGCTTCGCCCGCAGGTGAAAGCTGTTTTCAGGACCGCGGACAGCGCAGATAAGTAGGAGGGAACTCTCTTGACTCCCACACTGGGGCATTTATCGACATTTGAATGGCTGGTGTTCTTGAAAAAAAAATCCCATTGTGTTCTCTTCAATCAAATCCCTTCAGAGTGTGGCGAAGCCCTTTAGTTCGCTGACAAGATTTGATGGTTTTTATTCATGAAAAAGAAGAGTGGTCCTGATGCGAGATGACTCACTGACAACTGCACTCTATATCCGGGCCTCACTATTTATTGCCCCCAACCACTGTAATTTGTCAGTGGAACTCACTGCCCAAGTGAACCACGGAGGCCTGTGGATGGGCCAACAATAACCAATCTAAAAAGAAGAATAAAGAGCCTCTTCATTGTCTTAATTTACAGTACAATTCGGTCCACAATTTCAACACTACATTATTTTTGAAGTTAGAATCATCCAGTTTAGTAAATTGCATTTGAATTATTTCTCTATAACACTTAGCTGCAGTAACATTTTTTTGTCACTTGAGGCCAGCAGAAACACAGCATTGACATGTTATCTTAAGTTCATACGGAACACTTGTTAGCAAACAGTTGCTTATTTACACATCCAGCAGTTAAAGAGCAACACAATCCTTCATTTGGAGTCGTGTTTGTGTCCACGTAATAAATGTAAGTCCCAACATCTTCTGTTTGTGGTCTCCACCAACTCCTGAGGAAAATGTTTGCGTTTTAAGTTGCTAAATGCTCCTCTATGTTCACCAACTGGTCTCCAGCTGTGTATGTCTGCTGTTTGGTGCTGAGCAGGTAGTGTACAGAGTTTGGTTGTTTTTAGAGCTTTAGAGCAGCCAAAAACGACACATTGAGAGCGTTGAGAGTGAACCAAAAAGGTAAAGTTGTGGGTCCATAGTTTCCTCATTGCCATGTGGTACATTGTTATTAATACGTCGATTATAAACAATTGAAACATTAATGCCGGGAACTGCTGTTGGGGTCCCGTCTGAAACTTAAAGTCAATGTTGAAGTTACGCAACATTGTGTTATGTTACGTACGTAGCCTACTTTACTTGCGTTGTGTACCAATCATAGGGAAAAAAACAGGAATTTCACCAAGGACACCGCTGTTGGTGTCCAGTGTGAAACATGACTTACTCTAAGCCGACGTTTATGTTACCTAATGTTGTGTTATGTTAGCTAGGTTACTAGGAATATGTAACGTTCCATAGCTTACTTAACTTCCGTCGTGTACATAACATAGCTTACTCAACTGGGTAACAAACAATTATTTTTAACGCAGATCGCAATCTGATCCGAAACCTAACCAAGAAGTTGTGTTGCCGTAACCTAACTAAGTTGTTTCCTGTGAACAAGGACGTTTATTTTTAAAAAGAAGCGCACATAACAAGCAGAAATTGACACGTGCAAGACTTGAAGTTAGGAGTGAGAACATGTTGGATGATCATGCTATTCTAGCGAGAACAACACAAGCAGGGACGTTTTTTTCTATCCCATTTGTATTCATCATTATTTCGGTCTTTAATTTGTTGTCACCGTCAGTCACAGCAGAGCTCAACAGTGCTCATCTGACATGTTGATATCACAGCAGTTATTGTCTGTCAACGCTTGACGCCAGAATGACGCTGCGGGGTTAATGCCTTCTGTCGAGACTGCTCGCTGAAATTGATAGGCCCGTCTTGACGGATGAGATTAACCTGCGATCGCAGGCAAACGCAATTTACGAGTGCGGCAGATGGATGCCGAGGATGCACTCAGAAGTAGGCCAGTTTTACCTTGGGGAGAAGCCTCGACACGCACAGAAGGCTCCCGGAGAACGTTAGATCGTCGTTGTTTTTTCAGGGGGAAAATTATGAGAGAGGTGTGGGAGGAATGGGGAATCAGAGGACTACGTCATTAAACGCCACACGCGGTGAAATAATAAATCAATTCCTGCTCACACGGAAAAGCTTAGCCGGATAGCAATTTAAATTCAAAAAAATGAAGTGGGCTATAACTTGGGATTTGACCCTGAACCCTCTGCGGGCGTCTCCGCGCCGCTCTCGTCTCCAAGTCGGCTGTGTGGAGAAAACAAGAGCTCGGTTCCTCTTCCAGAGAACTCTTCCTCATGGCACCGTTCACTCACCTTCACCAGCAAGAATGAGCCAGCAACGGGGAGGAGCCAGCACGCACGCGGTCAGATCCGTTTTTAAAATGATGAATATACGGTGCAGCACTTCTTGGAGGATGGAGCGCAGCTGCAGGGCTTTTTTTAACCAAGCGCTCTTCCACCTGAAATCGGCGGGCATTAGAGGCGAACATTCGGCCTTTCTGGATTTAATCGTTGCTCCCGTTGTTGCTGAGTTGGTCCCTTTTTGTTTGCCTTGGCGCCTGGTGACCACCGTACAACGTTTTGTGAGAAATCAGCTGCTCGGGTGGAGCCCCAGCATTTGAAGGAATGGACTTCATGTTGAGGGTAGTTTTGTTAGATAATATCCTTCTTTTTGTAATTTAGTTAGTTCAGAAAAAAACACAACCTCCCCCTTTAAAAAAATCCTCTGCTCCCAGCGACATTAAAGTTACAGTTAGAGATATTATCTGACATTCCTTTAGAAGAGGAGGGACTGGAGAGATGTCAGGATCTTTTAGATAACAGTTAAGAAAAGCTGTAAACGATCATACTGTCTTTTTTTGGCATGAGTTAGCCCACTAACTACAAGTCATTTTCCATTTTCTGAAGAATACAGTCCTTTTCTTTCCTACCTGTATTGGCAGCCATTGTTTTGATCTCACATCTTATCGATATATACAGTGAAACTCAGCTTGCTGACTGCCTAGCTTGAGGGAGGTGATGCATTGCATTGAACATTTAGTAGCGTTTTTTTTTAAAGTCAAAGTTGGGTTATTATTGCACGGTAATGCAGTGAGAGAAAGAAGTGTTGACGAGTAATCCAGATGATGCATTCATGTGCTGGTGCTGGTTGCTTGAATACCATCAATGCACCCATGAGCTTTGTGTTCTGAAATTGCTTTAGTGATACAAACAGCACCTTATGTACGGATGATGTGAAAACGGAATTGGTAGCGTTCAGCGTTTAAAAAAAGTCCGCTGTTCTTTGCCAACTGCCTCGTTGGTCTTATGTGTGGGACCTGGAGCTTCCCACCAGCTGAGCCGAGATGGAGTTCCCCTGAAGCCTTTTAACAACACTGTTGGCTTTTACAGCATGTGCATTACTACAACAACAACAACAATCTCTATCTATCTATCTATATCTACTGCATCTACCTTTCTATCTATCTACCTGTTACGTAAGTCAAAAGGACAAATGTATTAAAATGAATACAAGTAAAGTTTATGGAGCCTTTTCATTGTACTAGCAGTTTGGCTGCCACCTCTTCGACAATTAGTGGACTAATCAGCTGTTTTATAGCAGGTCTGTGGTAAATAAAACAGTATTTATAGAGGTGCTTTTCTGTGATTCTTTGTGGAAACACTTTTTAATGCTTGAGACATGGTACAACATCAATGATTCTTCACAGTCATTAATAATAGTAACAGTATTCGGTCACCATAGACAGACAGTCTCCTAATACATGTATTATTCATTGTTTAAAGGTAAACCGAGATAACTCTTCACTTTAAAACAAGTGGCCCTCCATATTACTCTCCACCCTTCAGGTGGTTCTCAGTCTGAGAAAGGTTGGTGGCAGTTTCTTTAAAGCAATGCATGACTTTACAGTCACGAGAATGGGGAACGTACACGTTCTCGGGTCCTTTGCCTTTTGGGGTAGAAGCTTAACTTGCTCACAAAGAGCCCTTTTTTTGGGCTCGTTAGTTCACCCACCTGCGCCGTGTCCTCGCGGCCACACTGCTGATGTGATGTTGCTTCTCCCGGGTTCATCTCAGCGGGAAGCGCTCGACTCCAGGGTACATCAAAGTGAGCTTGCGGACTCTCAGGGCGGGGCCTTTGTGGAGCCTCGGCGAAGAACCTCCCGGGGTTCACATGGGCGACAGCCTCCCTGCCTTTTGTGA